TCTTTTCGGGGGGTGGGTGGGTACGGGCTCGTCGGCACGGCCAGATTCTCTTCGAAATCCTTGTCAGAACGCGCCCTGGGAGGAATCTGAGGAGTAACGACGGTAAGGTATCCCAGGTTTAGTGCCATTTGCGAACCCTGCTCCTGCGGGTCCAACTCAATGTTGTGGTGCTCATTAATCGGGTGTCGGACACCCCCGCTGAGGGGTCACATGGTTGCCTTTGTCCTTCATTTTGTGGACCCCCGCCGCCGGCGCTTCAACGTTCAAAGATTTGTCATGGCAGGGCTCACACTTCGTTGCCTTATCCCCCCCTCTCCTGTTCCCTGGTGGCCGCTGAATTATTCTTCGCGCCGACGCGGCCGTTTTCGGGGGGCACTGGTGGGCTCTCCGCGGTTCTACGCTCCTACGGAGGTTGGGGTGATGATAGGACCACCCTCCCTGCTCTTCTTCTTCTTCTTCTTCTTCTTATTATTTTTCTTCTTATTTTTCTTTTTCTTATTCTTAGTAGTATTGTTATCATTATTACTTTCTGCTTCCTCGTTGTTCCTCCTCCGCATCTTCTCCCCCTCCTCCTTAGCAGCCCCCTCTGGAACCCCGTCTCTGTGACTCTCCAGAGACACTAGGCAACGCCCGAACGAGGTTGAAAACCGCCGAACAGTTCCATCCTGCCCCTTGCTCTCTCTCTCTCTCTCTCTCTCCTTCTCGTCTTCACATTAAATCCGAAGACTTCCGAGAGAAGCCTTCTGGACAGTTCCCGCAAACCTCCATCGATACCCACAGCCATTCTGAAACGTTCGGAAACCACCAACAGTTCCTCCTCGTCCTTCACTGCTTCCCCTCATTCACTTCCCCGAGGCGGACCTGCGCCGAGGGCCCACAAAGCAAAAAACAGTTCAAATAAGCAGTCCACCTCCCCACTTCCTCCCCTTGCTCTCCCCTCCTCGCCCCTCTCCCCCCCTCCTTCCCCTTCCCTCTCCTTTGTTTTTCTCCCCCTCTTCCTCCTATTCTCGAGGAAACGTAAGACTCGAGTTTGCTGGGACTCGGGCAGCTTTTAGGTCCCGGCGTGAATTTCCAAGTTCCAGTTCCCGTGAGATGTTTGCAGCGGGAGGTTGCGTCAATTGTCTTTCAGATCCCGCAGTTTTTGCCGACGGTTCCGTCAGAAGTCCTCAAGTCTCCTGGGTTCTCATCCCTCCTCCCTGCCAGGGCCGCCCTACGTTCCGATTTGATGCCAGTCGATTCCGCTGGCTGGGGCCGCGATTCCGATTCGATTCGGTTCGATTCGTCTGCATCGGCCCGGGCCAGTTGCAGCTGGGCGCGGCGATCCAATGCGAATCCCGAGCGCGTTCCGGAGCGCTCTGCCCGATTCATCTTCCATGACCGCCAGATCTCACAGACCTCAATTTATCCCAGTCTGATATGCAGTCAACCCGCAAGGTGAGGATGTGCAAATTTCCACGTTTACCCTTAAATCCTTCCTTTCCGGCCCATCTTTGGCCGCTTGCGCTGGCGCGTCCGGCCGCAAAGTGTCAGCCTTGCATTAGGAGGCCCTTGCGTTCTCATCGCTCGTCCTGATTGTGCGGGTTGATTGTATCGTTTGGCTGCCCCCTTTCCCAGACATCCGGCGTCTCGATTTTTTCGGGACGCGGGCCCCCGACCTCTCGACCACCTCTCCGGGACCAGCTTTTCATCCCGAGTCGTCTCTTGACGGTCCCGAGGCCCAGGGAGGGCCCCGAGAGGCCGACAATTACGAAAAACCTCCGTCCCGATTTTTTCGAGACCCCTCCCCCCCCGCCTCCCCCCCCCTCCCCCCTCCCCCCCCGCCTCGACGGGGCCCCCTGCCCCGGCGCCGACGGACAGGCCAGCATGTGGCAGACCTACCAGGCCCAGCAGGCATTCTGCCTGCCGCTCCGCGGCGCGGCAACTTTTTTTGGGGGGAGGGCGGCGGGGAGGCTGGAAGTGCTCCCCACCCCTCCCCTCCAATCCCTCCCTCCCTCCCCTCCCTCCCTTCCCCCTCTCCCTCTCCCTCCCTCCCCCCTCCGTCCCTCTCCCTCCCTCCCTCCCTTCCTTCCCCCCCTCCTCTCCCTCCCTCCTCCCTTCCTCCCTCCCTCCCCACCCCCTTCCCTCCCTCTCTCTCCCTCCCTCCTTCCCTCCTCCCCCCTCCCCCCCTCCCTCCTCCCTCTCCCTCCCTCCCTCTCCCGCCCTCTCCCCTCCCTCTCCCTCCCTCCCTCCCTCCCCATCGACGCTTTGTGCTGACCCACGGTCCCCTGGGGAACTGACACTACACTGCACAGTCGGCTCCAGCGCGAGTGTGCTCGCGCGGGGGCGATGCCCGCCGCCGCGCCGCCCCGCCTCTGCCTCCCCCCCCCCTCCGGCTCCCCGCGCGGCTGGGGGAGACCCGCTTTCGAGCCGTCGGCGCCCTTCCATCCGTCCCTCCCTCCCCCCTCCCCCTCCCTCCCTCCTGCTCCCTCCCTCCTCATCACCCTCCTCCTCCCTCCTCCCTCCCTCCCTCCTTTCCTCCCTGCTCCCTCTTCCTCCCCCTCCTCCCTCCGTCCCCCTCCTCCCTCCCTCCCCCCTCCCTCCTTCCCTCTCTGCTCCCTCCTGCTCCTTCTCCCCCTCCCTCCCTCCCTCCTCCCTCCCTCCCTCCCTGCCCCTCCTCCCTCCCTCCCTCCCTGCCTCCTTCCCTCCCTGCTCCCTCCTCCCCCTCCCCCCTCCCTTCCTCCTCTCTCCTCCTTCCCTCCACAATGAGACAATATGAACACTACTCTCCTCTCTCCCTTGATGACGTCCGGAAGATGTCCAGCCTCCCTCCGCGTGGTATTCTTTATGCACAGGATTCCCAGGATTTTGCAGGATTCTGCAAGTCCTGACTGACCCGGGTCTGGATTGACCCGGGTCAGAAGATCTCCGATGTTTTTGTTTCTTTTATTGTTTAAAATGTTGCTCCCGCTGAAGCGCTGGCCTCATTTTCGGGCTTCTGCTCGTTCCGAATCGTGCTCCAGCTGCAGCGTTGGCCTCATTTCCGCGCTTCCGCTCGTTCCGAATCGTGCCCCCGCTGCAGCGCTGGATTCATTTCCGCGCTTTCTCTCGTTCCGAATCGTGCTCCCGCTGCAGCGCCATGCCACGGCATGATTTTCGGTCCTTCCAAGTATGCTCCCAAATCTAAAAAAATACCCCCCCCGAAAGAACCATCGGAAGTGATTGCACATTCGGTATCGATTCGTTGATTTTTTTTGGCCGCAGAAGCCCCCCCCTACTTTGGGGTGTCGCCACGCCATGCTATGTCATGCTACGCGTTGATCTTCAACACCATGCTATGCCATGTAATACTAAATTCTATGCCATGCTACGACATCCGACTGTGTGAATAGAGAGTAGATCTACGCCATGGTAAGGGATGGGAGGGAGGGGTAGAACGTCAGATGTGACGCGAGCGCACCTAGCTTACCCCCCCTTCCCCCGTCCCTCCCCCCATTCACCCCTTCCCAAAAAAAGCCATGGGGGCGCCCGATGGGCCCCCGCCGCCATCGCCGAGGGTGTCCCGCGAGTGTTGGGTTATGGCCCCGGGTCCCTAGCAAACGAAATCCGCCACCTAGTGGACGCGACATTTTGGAGGACTGGCCCCGCGGCGTTCCGCTTCTGAGTTAAGCTCTAAGTGGTATTCGAATTGCGCGATGAGCAGGGGCAGTCGCGAAACTAGCGCCGCGTCAGGGGCGGCCCGGCAGGAAAAAGGGGAGGGGGACCAGGGGCGGCGGTGGCCGAAGGGTCGGCGGCTGGTCGTAGTGGGGGCGGTGGTGATCGTACTAGTGGTCGTAGTGGTGGTCGGACTGGTGGTGGCCGTGCTGGTAGTTGGGCGTGCTGGTGGTGGTCGTGGTGGTCGTGCGGGTGCTGGTGGTCGAGGTGGCCGTGCTAGCGGTGGTCCAGAGGTGGACAAAAAGTGTCCACACCCATCGCGCCAATATGATACGACATCGAAGTGCGTCAAACAAATATCCATAGCCCCCGCCCCCCCAACCCAAAGTTGACGGGGTTGGGTGCGAGGCAACGCGCGGGGGACAAAATGTGGACACTTCAACTTTGGGTTTGGGGGTGAGGGGGGCGAGCCACATGTGCATTGCAATTGTCGTTGCCATCATGCCTGATTAGCTTCGCGCCGTCGGCGTGGACACTTTTTGTCCGGGCACCGTCGCACTTGCGGTCGGCCTGCTGGTGGTCGTGGCGATTTTGCCGGTGGTGGTCGTGCTGGTCGACCATCATGGGAAAACGACCGCGCAAGAGTACCACAAGACCACCGGTTCACCCTCCCCAGCGGACGGACTCCCACAACAAATGCAGCCTACATACGTTTCTAGATGGATGCGCTAAGCGCGTGGGAGCACCCGAGTGAGGACGAATAGGACCTACCGCATACGAGTGCTTCAGAAGGATACGTTGGTACACCGCTACCGATACCAGGTACAATTCAGCCGAATGTCTATGACGCTATCACGTCTGCAGCGCTAGTGGCATGGTGCGCAGAGTACAACGTTACGTGTCAGGTGCGCCGTCATCGGTTTCTGCTACTTCCCTTCTCGAGTGGCCTGGCCGCCGCTCGACCTCCCCTCCCCTCTTTTCCGATGGCCGCAGGATGCAGTCGAGTTTGATTAGTAGGCCGACCCTGCCCAAACAAGGGTACCCTTGTGTCCTGTGTTTCGCGACCCATGCCCTCTACGTTCCACTGACAGCGTGGCCATCGGAAGAGTCTTGTGTCCTCTCGCGTGTCCTCTCCTGCCCGCCCCGACTGGGTGGCCTTCCTCTTCCCGCCCCTCCTCGGAGCGGGCAGGCCCCCGCGTCGGGGCCCGGTGGCGCGAGCGTGGGCCAGGCGCGGTATTGGAGGATTCGGGTGCCGCCCTCATCGGCTGCGGGGAGGAGGAGGAGGAGGAGGAGGAGGAGGAGGAAACGGGGAGGCAACTGGTTCGCGGGGGTGCCAGACACCCCCATCATATGTGATTTCTTCGCCGTCGCCCTCCTCGTCTCCATCATCCATGGATCCTCCCGCCTCCTATTGTGGAGGCAACGAATGTGGAGTGCTCCAGAGCATGCGATCTTCAACATTCCAGGGACGCCAGAAGAATGGAGTAAAGGAGTCTTGTTCGAACTTGCATTGGGTGCGCATTCCACTGTCTTCCTTGTATTGTTCGTCTGCGAGCTTTGTTGACAGGGGCGCGATCCGATTCGATTTCGTGGCAGCCATTCGGGGCGATGCGGCCCGCGGTTTCGCGCGCGAGCGCGCCCTGCTGGGGTACCCGCCCGCGGGCCCGTTGGGGCGTCTTGGGTGCCCTTGAGGGGTGCCTCTTGGGGCCATTTTGGCACCTCTTGGGGGCCTCTTGGGAGCCCCTTGAGGCTCTCTTGGCAGCCCTGGAGGCCCTCTTGAGACCATCTTTTAGGACATCGATCAACGGAGGGGGGGGGTCCGTAATTAGCGCCGCCCCTCTAGAGCCTTTGAAATCGCCTCTTGGGGCCCTCTTGGAACGCTCGTGGAACGCTCTTGGACGCTGTTGGGGCCGTCTTGGGACCCTCTTGGGCCTACCTTGGTGCCCTCTCGCGCCATCTTGGAGCCATCTTGAGGCTTCGGAAGGCCATCGGAAGCGAAACGGCGAGAAAGTAAAACACATTGATTTCCCTTAGGTTTTTGAAGGATGCTGCCCTCGTGGGGGCTCTCTTGGGGGTGCTCCGAGGCCACTCGGAGCTGCCTTGAGGCGGTCTTGAAGCCCTCAGGAGTATCTGAGAAGCCATCTTGAGCAATCTTGAGCCACCTTGAGCCGTCTTGGATGCCATCTTTTGGCTCTCTGAGGCCCTCTTGGAGATATTGTGGGCCATCTTGGACGCTCCATCGCGGGGCGCCCCGTCCAGGGGTGGGGATAGGGGGAGGGGTCCAGCTACCCTCCCAACATATTAGTAGCGCCCGAGTGTCAGCAGATCGCCAAGGAACGCCACACATGTCATGCGCGCCACGGGTTCAGGTGCACCAGGCACCTTGGAGGCCCAAGCGTGCCAAGTGCGGCACATGCTCCACGTGCGCCAATTGTGTCACGTGCTCCAGGCGCGCAAGATGCGCCAGCTACGGGGAGCCAATAGGGACCCCAGGTGCCTGGGGCCCTGGCTCCGAGGAGTTCAGGATCTCGAATCCCCCTGAAGCGAAGTGCCGAGCATTCTGTGAGAAGGGCGGCTCTTCCAGGGAGCGCAAAGCACTGGCATCGATGGACAAATTGTGACATCTTGAGGAGTCGTGAAACAGATGAGCGCTCATAGAAAGGAGGGCCCTGCACATACTCCAGATTTGGAGCCACAGTGTATTTTGTATTGTATTTATGTCAGGGATGGTTGGCCTGCGCGCAGCAAGCAATAGGCTGGCACGCCCGCCGCCCCTGTCAAAAATTGATGCAAAGTGGTCGCGGGTCGCCCGTTCATGCGCCAGGTTTGGAGGCAAAGTGTATTATTGTTTTTTTACAAGGGCTTGTGGGGGGGGCACATTGGTCTGGGTTGGCTGCCAGTCGCTCGGGGGAGGGGATGTAATAGGAACAAATGATGAACCCCTCTCCGAAGGGGAAGAAAGGAAGATAGAAGAGAAAACGTCTTCAACCACTCACGCCTACGGCTGGTGGGATTCCCGAACCGAATCCGGGGGAGTCAACACAACACAAAAAATCTAAAGTGGATCCCGAAACCGAATCCAAGATACAAGCAGCCGCAGCACAGTAGACGGAGGATTGCAGAAGCGAGTGTGCGGACAACAAATGCCCCCTTCACAAACCGTGCCTCTCCCTTCCCTTTCTCACTGACTACCAGCTAGGGTAATACCGGCCAAGGTACCAGCGAGGGTACCAGCCAGGATACCAGCTTGAGTTCCAGCTGGTGTGCCAGCTAGAGAATCAGCCAGGGTGCCAGCTAATGTGCCACCTGGGGTACCACCTAGGGTACAATATTGGGTGCCAGCCAGGGTACCTGCAAGGCGACCAGCTAGAATACCAGCTGGAGTACCAGCTAGGATAGGGTACCCTGACCATTATGGATGCGGATCAGGACCATAACCAGGACCAACTACGTGCAACCGACTCGCTACCCTCCTATGTTATTCGCACCTGTCGTCCCCGCCCGCGGGGGGTCCTCCGGCGCCAGGAGGCGCCAGAATAGTCAGCGACACGCAGCTGATGATGGATGGTATTGTATTGAATTGCCTCGCTGGGAGCATTGCATTGCATTGTACTGCCTTTCGCTGAGAGTATTGCTCGCACTGCTTCCTTTCGCCTTTCGTGGAGCATTCGGTGGATCCTCTCGCAGAGCATGAGATCAGGGGAAGACTCGCCTGGCGGGCCATCGGGTCCCCATCGCTCGTCGCCCTCCAGGCAAACTCCAGGATGGCCCCTGGTGTTGTCGCTGAGGACCATGGGTCGACCTGAACGGTGGTTTGGCGATTCCGTGGGCCGTTTTCGTTTCGATTTCGTTCTGCAGCAGAGGCGGATTGACGACAAAACGAGGGAAAACGGAAACAACACGAAAACGAAAAGCACTGTTCAGGTCGATCCCCGAATCGAAATCTTGAAGGGGTTGTGACCCACTGGAGCGTCACTCCTGAGCTCGGGAGACTGCAGGGGCCGACAGACTGGGCCTGCCCTCGCTGTCATCCCCCACACACCAGCTGCGAGTTGGGGCCTTCCCGAAGCACGGGTGTTTCCCCCCACAAAGACAGATGCTCCGACACCGAAGGGCTGTCTACACTGGCGACTGGCGGCCGTTTCCCCATGCAGGCAGATGCTCCGACACCGAAGGGCTGTCTACACTGGCGGCCCGACCGCTCCTCGACCTGGAAGTCCGATCAGTGCTTCTCGCTCTCCTTCTTCTGTGCCCTCCCCCCTCCTCGCCCTCCCCCTTCCTCGCCCTCCCCCCTTTCTCGCCCTTCCTCTCCTGTGCTCCTCGCCCTCCCCCCTCCTCGCCCCCCCCCCTCCTCGCCCTCCCCCCTCCTCGCCCCCCCCCCCTCCCCTCGAGGGGAGCTCCCCCCCCCTCACCCCACACAGGCCAGCGCGCCCGCCCGACCCGCCGCGCCGACCCCGCCAGCGGCGCCCGCGCTCCCCGCGGCCCCGCCGCCGCAGGCCGCGTCGCGACGACGACGACGACGACGTCGTCGTCGACAGCGCTCGATGCCGCCGCTCGTTGCCGTCGCCATCGATCGCCGTCGGTCAATGGACGTCCTCGGAGGTCCCCGGCCTGCTCCAGGAGGTTCTTCATCTCCTCCTCCTCGTCCTCCTCCTCCTCCTCCTCCTCCTCCTCCTCCCTCCTTCTCCTCCCTCCTCCTCCTCCTCCTCCTCTCTCCCTCCTCCTCCTCCTCCTCCTCCTCCTTCTCGTCCTTCATCTCCTCCTCCTCCTCCTCCTCCTTCTCCTCTTCCTCCTCCCCCGCTTCTCCCTCTCATCACCGCAGAAAGAGCGCGTTCTGTGGTCGCTTGGAGGGGTGGCCCCCCCCCCCTGGATGGAGGGCGGGGGGTTCGAACCGCCCCCCCCCCTTTCCGTGACGGAGGGGGGAGGGGGGTTTCAAGCCCCCCCCACCCTTTTCCCAGACTTTTCCTTTCTCCCTTTCCTCGAGCCGTCGCCTGCGTCGGCGGCGGCTGGCGGCGGCGGCGGGGGCGACGACTTCCATTTCTGACCTGGCGCGGGCGTCTGCGGCGGCGGCCGGCAGGAGGAGCGTCGACGAGGACGACGGCGACGACGATGACGACGACGACGACGCTCCGCCACCGTGCCTTGGTTTTGGGTCAGAGTCCTAACGGATGCCTCTTGGGGTCTCGTCGGAGGGCTCTCGGGGGCCTCCGAAGGGCATTTGTGGAGCCTCTTGGGCGACTCTTGGGCGTCTCTGGGGGCCTCTCTGAGGTGGTGGTGGTGGTGGTGTTGGTGGGCTGTGGTGGTGGTGCTGGTGGTGGGGGTGGTGGTGGTGGCGGTGTTGGTGGTGTTGGTGTGGTGGTTGGTGGTGGTGGCGGTGCTGGTTGTTGTGGTGGTTGTGGTGGCCGGTTGTGGTGGTGGTGGTGGTGGCGGTGGTGGTGGTGCGGTGGTTTCTGGTGGTGGTGGTGATGGTAGTTGTGGTGGTGGTGGTGGTGGGTTAAGGTGGCGGTGGTGTTGGCGGTGGTGGTGTGGTGGTTTGTCGTGGTGGTTGTGGTGGTGGTAGTGGTTGTGGTGGTGGTGGTGGGTTGTGGTAGTGGTGGTGGTGGCGGTGGTGCTGGTCGTGGTAGTTGTGGTGGTGGTTTGTTGTGGTGGTGGTGGTGGTGGTGGTGGTTGTGGTGATGGGTGGGTGCTGCTGGTGGTGGTGGTGGTCGTGGTGGTCGTGGTGGTGGTGTGGTGGTTTCTGGTGGTGGTGAGTTGTGGTGGTGGTGGTTGCGGTTGTGGTGTGGTGGTTTGTTGTGGTGGTAGTGACGTAGTGGTTGTGGTGGTGGTTGTTGGTGGTGGTGGTGGTTTGGTGGTGATGTGTTGGTGGTTTGTGGTGGTGGTGGGTCTTTGTGGTGCTGGTGTTGGTGGTGGTGGTGGTTTGGAGGTGGCGGTGGTGGTGGGTTGTGGTAGTTTTTGGTGGTGATGGTTGTGGTGGTTGTGGCGGTGGTGGCGTGGTGGTGTGGTAGATTGTGGTGGCGGTGTTGGGTTGTTGTTGTGGTGGTGGTGGTGGTGAGTTGTTGTTGTGGTGGTGGTGGTGGTGGCTGTGGTGGTGGTTGTGTGGTGGTTTGGTGGTGGTAGTGGTGGGTTGAGGTGGTGGTGGTGGTACTGGTGGTGGCGGTGGTGGTGGTGGTGGCGTGGTGGTTTGTGGTGGTGGTGGTGCTGCTGCTGGTAGCAGTGCTGGTGGTGGTGGTGGGTGGTGGGTGGTGGGTGGTGGTTTTGGTAGTGGGGGTGGTTTGTGTTGTGGTGGTGGTGTGGTGGTTTGTGGTGGTGGGTTGTGGCGGTGATTGTGGTGGTGGTGGCGGTGGTGGTGGGGGTTTTATGTGGTGGTGGTGGTTGTGGTGGGTTGTGGTGGGTTGTGGTGGTTTTTGGCGCTGGTGGCGTTTGTGGTGGTGGTTGTGTAGTGGTTTGTGTTGATGGTGGTGGTTGTGATGGTGGTGGCTGGTGGTGGTTATGGTGGTAGTGGTGGTTGTGGTGGTGGTGGTGGTGTTGTGGTTTGTGGTGGTGGTGGTGTAGCCTTCGGCTCTTCCCGCCACCGTGTTTTGGCTCTGGGTCAGAGTTCTACTGGATGCCTCTCGAGGTCTCGTCAGAAGGGTCTCGGGGGCGTCTGAGGAGCATGTGTGAAGCCTCGTGGACCTTCCCAGGGCCTCTCGGTGGCTTTGGGGGGCGAGGGCTCGACATGGCGATTTGTGTGTTCCCTCTGCGGCCTCCCGCCGCCAGCGCTCGCGCCGGCGCCCGCGCGGGGAGGGGGGTTGGACCCCCGCCCCCCCCGTGGACCCACTCTGGTCATCGTCGCTGCGTCCCTGCCGTCAGCGCTGCTGGCGGCCGCCAGCGCCGGCGCCTGCGCTGGCGCTGGGGGGGGGTGATTCGGGAGTGGGGGTTGTTAGGGGGGAGGGGAGTCCCCCTGGTTCTGATCGACGGTGCCCAGTGTTTGGGGCGGGGGCCACCCCCTGGTTCGAAACGCGCCGCCGAATGTTCCCAAGGCAAGCGCGTCCGTGAAACTCGCTCTCTCTCTCTCTCTCTCTCTCTCCCACCTTAGGAGGTCCTCGTTTCGGGGGCTCTCGGCAAACTTTTGCAGGCTCCGTCGCAGCCGCCGCCCGGGCTCCTCGGCGCGGCGGCGGCGGTGGCGACGGCGACGGCAACAGCGGCGGCGGCGGCGATGGCGGCGCGAAGGCGCAGCAAACGGGGCCGAAGACGGAACGGACGAGGGAATTTACGGAGGCGAGGGAGGCGGACGGGCATGAGTGAAGGAAGGGGAAGCATTACGAGGCAGAGGGGAGGGCAGCGGCGGCGCTGCGGCTGCGCAGTCTCTTCCCGCGGCCTTGGCCGTGGCGCGACGACGAAGTCGTCGTCGGTTCGGAGGGCGTTCTTCTGGTGCCCCGCGTCGTCAGGGCCGAGCGCGGCTCGAGAGGCGGGCCGCGATGGGCCTCGCGAAGGGCTTCCAGGGGCCGACTTTGGGCGGGCACTGGTCGAAGGAGGCGACGGCGAAGCCGAAGAACCGTTCAGTCAACCTGCGCAGGAAGGATTCCACGGTTACCCTTGCATCCTTCCCCTCCGGCCCATCAATGCCCGCTTTCGCTGGCAGCGCCCCGCTCGCAACGTTTCGGCATGGCTTTCCAAGGCCCTTGCCTGCTCATCGTCCATCGTGTGTCCTTATGACACGGGCTGACTGTATCGTTAAGAGGAGGACGAAGTGGACGAGAGGCGACAAGATGGTCAGGCCTTTTCAGAAGGTTCGGAAGTCCCCCAGCCTTCTGAGAAGTTCCCTGAACCGTGCCCGAAGACGCAGGACACTTCTCTCACAAGGCGCGAGGGCTTCTGAGAAGTCCCGCCGCCTTCCGAGAAGGCCTTCTCCCTCCCACTTCACCCCGTCGCTCGCCGCCGAGAAGGGGACGAGAGGCAATACAGATGGCGAGGACGAGTTGGGAAGAGGGCGGAGCAGACAGCGTCGGCGGCGGCCTCTCGGGAAGCCCACTCGCCGCCTTCTGGACCGGCCGCCAGAGTCCTGATCGGGGCGCGCTCCCTCCCCCCCCCCCGGACGGGGGGCCAGTCTGGACGACGGAGGCCCGAAGAGGGGCTTGAGATGGCCGAGGACCCCGATCCGCGACCTCGAGCGAGGAGGAGGACGAGGAGGAGGAGGAAGAGGAGGAGGAGAGGGAGGGACAAGCTAGGTGCGCTCGCCCCATATCTGGCATCCTACCCCTCCCACCCATCCCTTCCCAAAGAGCCGATTCCTTCTCTATCTGCGGGCGCTTGTCACAGGGGACCTGGAGTTCTAAAAAGGATCCCATCGTCCAGCAGGGGACACCCCCCCGCCCCGTCTCACTCAAGAACTGGCGACCCAGGGGGTCGGAGTTTTTTTTTTTTTTTTTTTTTTTTTTTTTTTTTTTTTTTTTTTTTTGTTTTTTCTCTATCCTTGGACCCCGATCGACAACCCTCGCTGCTAGACCAGGCCCCCTGGATCGCCGGTGTGGGGGTGGGGTCGGGGCGTGGAGGTGTGCTTGGGGTTTCGTATTCCCAATCGTGGTCTGCTCTAGGTCAGGGGTGGACCTAAACGTTGTTTGGGCGATTTCGTGGGCCGTTTTCGTTTCGATTTCGTTTTGCAGCAAAGGCGGATTGAAGACAGAACGAGGGAAGACGAAAACAACACGAAAACGAAAAACACCGTTTAGGGCGATCCCTGCTTTAAGCCTCCTAGAGTGGGTCGGAGTAGATGGGGTCGGAGGATCGCGTCGTATCTCCGATGCATCGGCGATGCGGCTCGATGTCGATCCCGATGTTCTCGATGCCGACGTCGCCGATGCATCGCCGACGTCGCTAGCGCATCGACGATGCATCGCCGATGTATCGGCGATGCGGCGAGATCCTCCCACCCCATTCACTCGGACCACAGCTAGAAGGCCTCTATATGCACAGTCGGAAAAGGCGAGTTGCGTGCATTTGAGTATGAGGTGGCGGATGAGCGGGAGGACGAGCAGGAGGAGAAGGAGGAGGAAGGAGGAGGACGAGGACGAACAGCAGCAGCAGCAGCAGCAGCAGCAGCAGCAGCAGCAGCAGCAGCAGCAGCAGCAGCAGCAGCAGCACCAGGAGCAGAAACTGGAATAATTCGAAGGAGCAGGAGTAGCAGCAGGACCAGGGCAGGGTAGAGGAGGGGAAAGGAGGGGGGTGACAACGATGCGGAGATACTCGGATCAAGAAAATAGTCGCCCGCGCTGGGGCGCGAGCGCCGTTCTGGACGACGGGAGCAGAGCGTCGATCCTAGCATGAGGCCATTGCTGCAGCGGCAGCACCTCTTTGAGACGCGCCGAAAACGCGGACGGCATCAGGTGACTCCCCGACCATTTTTTGGGGGGATAGAGAAGAGCAGTATTCATACTGTCAGGAAGGAAGAACATACACAGACAAAAACCGGCGATCCCCACAATGTGGGAAAATGTGGGAAGTGGTGGGGGGGGGGTGGAAGACTCAAACCCAGAAAATATGGAAAAAACTTGGAATCCGAGGATCTGCTCATATTTAGTTGTGTGCCCCATGCTCCCCTCTCGTTCTGGAGGCTGGCAGGGAGGAGCCTGGCCCCGACCGCCCGCTCGGCCCGGCAGAGCCCGGCGCCGCCCGCGAGGCGCTGCAGCCGCCCGAGCTCCCGCCGCTGCCGCAGCTGGCGCAGCCGCTGGCGGGGGGCGCGCTGCCGGAGCCGCTCCAGGGCCCGCGCACTGGGGGGATTCCTCCTCCTCCTCCTCCTCCTCCTCCTCCTTGGATGCCTCCCTTCAAGCTTACCTCCTCCTCCTCCTGCTCCTGCTCCTGCTCCTGCTCCTGCTCCTGCTCCTCCTGCTCCTCCTCCTCCTCCTCCTCCTCCTCCTCCTCCTCCTCCTCCTCCTCCTCCTCCTCCTCCTCCTCCTCCCCCCTATCTCTTGTCCCTCGCTCCCTTCCCTCCTCTCTCCCTCATCTCTGCCTGTCCCCCTGTGCCCCTCGCCGTTGGTCCCTGCCCTGGATCTGCTGGTGCTTCCCTGCTTGTTTCGAGATCCGCCGGCTCCCTGAAACCAGAGTGTTCATTTCCGTGGCCTCATCCTCACTCCAGACGAAGCCGCCAGAACTGTACCATGACGGCTGGCTTCTCCATTTTGCCAACGCACCTCTGACGTACACGATGTGTTTTTTGTCATTGTGCTTTCTTTCCTTTCATTTATCCCCCAACAGGAGCAGGTGTCCTAGCGGATTCGTGTGGTTAGGTGAGGCTCGCCGCCGATTTCGGTGGCCGGCCCGGGTGCCCGGGGGCCCGGGGGGGCCCGGATGTGCCCGGGTGCCCGGGGGTGCTCGGAGGTGCCCGGGTGCCCGGGTGCTCTATCGCCCTGTAGTCATATAGCCCTATAACCCCATAGCCCTACAGCCCTATAGCCCTACAGCCCTATAGCCCTACAGCCCTATCGCCGTATAGCCCTACAGCCCTACAGCCCTACAGCCCTATAGCCCTATAGCCCTATAGCCCTATAGCCCTATAGCCCCGTAGCGCTCTATAGCCCTATAGCTTAATAGCCCATACAGTCCTATAGCCTATAGCCCTGTAGCCTATAGGGTGTTTCTCCGGAATCATGTATGTTTGTGTGTATATATATTATATTATATATCTGGATGTACGTATCTTTCTCCCCTCCCTCCCTCCCTCCCTCCTTCCTTTCCTCCTTTTGTTGCACCTCCTCCCTTTCCTTTTCCTCCTCCTGGTCCCCTTCCTCCTCCTCCTCCTCCTCCTCCATTTTCTCTCCCCCCCTTTCCCCTCCTCCTCCTGATCCTCCTACCTCTTCGTCGCTGCCTCCTCCCTCCCCGCCCCGCCCTGCCCCTTGCCATCCTCCCTGGGGTTGCGTTCGCCGGCGCTGTGCCAGACTCGACGGACCCAGACATCCAGCGTCTGCAATGATTCTGTAGTTCCCCACCTGACACTAAATCGGGCGTGTCCGTCTACAGAAGGAAGATTTTCAGTCGTAAAATATAGTCATGGTACAATGTTTTGAGCAGTTCTTTGTCAATGTTAGGTTATTTTTTTGGTCTGTTTGTTTTTCTTCCAAAATCTGCCTGTAGGCAGACATGCCCGACCTAAGGGTCGTTGGATTTGAAGAACAGACCTCCTGGCCCGACCACCCTGCATACCGCGGCTGCCAGATCCCCAGGTCCACCGAGTATCCCCCGAGACGCCCGCCTCGCGCCGACCCGGCCATTCTGTCTACCGCGGTCGCCAGATCGCCAGGTCCACCGAGTATCCCCCGAGACGCCCGCCTCGCACCGACGACCAATACGACAGAGCCTGAGAGAACTGAGCATCACATAACTTAGCTTACTATAGTAATGATGTAACATAACAAAACAGCTACGACAAAGCGGATCATACATAACACAGCATGACATCACACGTCGTAACATAACGGAGCATGACAGCGCATGCAATGACAGAGCGGAGCATACATTGCATAGTCTAACAAACACGTACCAATTCATAACATGGCATCGCATCAGCTATCATACCATAACACAACATCTCATATCACACCATATGATAACATAACGTGCCATGACAACGCATGCAATGACAGAGCGCGGCAATAATATGCTATCACACAGCGGAACCTCACACATCATAGCGCAAGACCAGACAATGGCATATCATGACATGTCGGAGCCCAGCGTTACATGTGTACCACAGCATACTGCCAACGCACGTTATGACAGATCCGGTCATACACCACGTCGCGTAACACTATTTAACATAACTAGTGTAGTTGATCATACCAGGACATTGCACGATATACCATAATCTAGCACCGACGAGTCTAACTGCTCACAACGTAACACATCAGGACATCTTATGGCGTAACATACCACAGCACCATATCACATCGTTTCCCGTAACACGACAACGTGTATCATGCCAGCGCGCGGTATCACATGTTATGGCATAACATATTGTATCACCGCAAAATAGAGCCTGAAACGAGCTGCCATTGTGGCACAGAGCATGACCGAACGTAGCACCGAGCGTAACTGAACATAACAACGTCACGATTGCAGCGACTGCATTGCAACATCATGGACTCTGTTCTATTGCACAGACACGCATTGACATAACACAGCTTATCATAACACACTGAACATTGCACGACTTAGCGTGACCAGCATCACACATATCATACCATAACATCGCCTGACATCAGATATCATGCCATGGCACGGTGCTGTAGAGCCGAGGTCAGGCTGTCCAAAGTTGCAGCCAGGCGCAGCAGCGAACGATAGCACGACGTATCTGTCGGGGCAGGCGTCAGGGCGTCACGCCGGCCCGTCGAGAACAGAACAGACAATAGAGCACAGCATGGCACAACATTATCAAAGCAGTCGAATATAACGAATAGAGCACACCGTAACTGGCATGACACAGCAAAGTTGTTGTCCTACTGCTACCCCTACATCAACGATTTAGATATCACAGGGCAGGCCACCACCTCATGGAAGAGGTATGTCATAGCAGAGGATCTCACAATATTCGACTACGAACTGGACATGCCATAAACTGCATCACATCTACTATCATTAACCTAGCCTGAACGAGTCTACGTGTCATGTCAGATCAGAGCATGTCATACTTTAACAAATCATACAATGACAGGGGTGAGCATGACATAACAGTCTTTATCAGAAGAGGAACACACACGTGAAGCTGATCTTCATCATGTAATAGGCCGTACCATCACATAATCAAACGCGACGTGCCGCCGAGGTTAGCCCGGCCACAGGTACAAACAGGCGTAGCAACGCTTGATCGGACGACGTCTCTAACGTGATAGGCGTCACAGTGTCTTTCCGTCCCATCGACAACATAACATATCATATTGTGCACCGCAGAGTAGAACATTATCGAGCATGCGAGATCGAACATTGTGCACCGTTGGGAACAAACGCCGAAGGTTTCGAGGGGGATCGCTCGAAGCATAATCAATTGCCTCGTCGCTGATGATGGTTCTGGTGACGATAATGATGATGATGATGCTGATGATGATGATGATGATGATGATGATGATGATGGTGATGGTGATGGTGATGGTGATGGTGATGGTGATGGTGATGGTGGTGATGGTGATGGTGATGGTGATGGTGACGGTGATGGTGATAGCGATAATGGTGGTGATGCTGATGGTCATGCTTATGATGATGGTGATGATGATGTTGTTTCCGATGCTGATGATGATGATGAAGGCGATGAGGATGCATATTATGATGATGATGATGATGATGATGATGATGATGATGATGATGATGATGATGATGGTGATGGTGATGGTGATGGTGATGGTGATGGTGATGGTGATATCTTTGATGTTCGAATTGGTGATATCGATGATGAAGACGTCGATGCTGCTGCTGATGATGACGACGATGAAGATGATGATGCTGGGTTCACGGGGCCCCCCGCCAGATCCCGGGTTTGTCAAGCAACGTCTCGGGATGACAAGCTGGGTCGTGCTTTCAGCCCCCCATGGTTCGGCCGCAGCCAAGACATCGGATGTCTGCTGGAGGCCCTTCCAAGAAGGCTAGTTGCTTCTTAGAAGGGCTCGGAGCTTTCCGAGAAGGCTTCTTACACGTTTCCGAGGGCTTCAAGTAATTCCTGTCCCCGACAAGTTGCGGTTGCACAGGCAGGCCCACTTGCCACAATACAGTATTGCAGGGCTGCGTTTTGGGAGAGACGGGCCGCAGTTTCCAATCCAAGGACGTCCAGCTCGAAGTTAGAAGTTGCTGCTTCTCTGATGCCCAATCACGGCGTGATTTCTTCGATCCGACCCGATCCTATTTTCGTCTGGGTCCTACATTCGACACTGACAGCAAGGATAAGCGACGTTCCAAGGGATCCCTCGTATCCTTTCCCTTCGGCCCCTCCTTGGCTACTTTCGTTGGCCGCGCCACGCTGAGAAAGTGTCGGCGTGGCCTTCCAAGGTCCTCGCATACTTACGGTCGGACCGAGGTAGAAGATCTAGGTCGGTTCGGGGAGGGTACCCTGATGTTCTTCGTGTTTGTTGAACGTTCTTGTCCGGGCTTGAGCTAAACGGTGTCTTGGCGATGTCGGAAGGGTACCCTCGACAGTTATTTAGTTTGGCTTGGCCGGCGCAGGGCTTCATGCTATTGAAGGACGTTCTTATGTCCTGGGTCTGGCCGTGTCGTGCATCTTTTCCCGTCGGCCCATCCCTGGCCGCTTTCGTTGGGCGCACCCCGCTGGAAAAGTGTTCGCATGACCTTCCAAGGCCCTCTCATCCTTATCGTGCATCCTTACACGCTGGTCGTTCAAAGTAGGTATGATTGGATCTCCAGATCCCAATAACTATCCTTCAAGCGCCTTCCTACTTCAAGAGTCGATATGCTTTCGCAGTGTTTCACTATTATCTGGGGGGCCTGAGCCTGTCCGCCTTCCTACTTTCGGCGGTGAGCCTTGGGGGGGCGTGAGAAGGAGAAGGGCTTCTCAGAAGGCTCGGAAGTCCCCCGGCCTTTGAGAAGCTTTCCGAGCCTCCCCCGAATGCACAGGAAGCTCTTTAGAAGGCGCGAGGGCTTCTGATGAGAAATCGTGCCGCCTTTGAGACGGCCTTCTCCTTCTCACTTCTCATGGCGGCAACATCTAAGAGCGGATATCGCTTGGAAAACAATGGGATGGGCCCGGATTGTCTTGAAGATTTTCGTTCTGGATATCGAAGTGTATTTCTTGCGGTTGTTTGGTCAGGAATGAAGACTACACGAAAATCCACGTGAATTCAATTTCGTTTTTCGCTCGCCGTTTCGTGGCTTTGCATCTCCACGTGGCAAAAATCCGCGGCAGCGCGTCTGCAAGGTCGGTGCAGTGACATTTCCCTCCCCTCGCTCGCCGCCAATACAGTGGAGACCCATGCTAAGAAACACCCTGCTTACCTCTGGGTTTCTTGGGTTTTGATGGTTTTGCGATGGAAAGCAGGACGTACCCACACCGAACATCGATGGACGTCCTGGGGTCTCAGGGTTGGGTTTCTTGTGGAAGGTTTCTTGTACTCGTGCCTCCACTGTACTTCAGGTTGTTTGCTACTTGTAAGTCGGGCGTACCCCTCTACAGGAGGAATATTCAAACACAGTCAAAAACAGTCTGGGGACGATGCTCGAGTGCTTTGTCTGAATATGTTGTGTATTTGTTGTTGTTTTTTCTCTATTTTCCATTTTTCCTCAAAAAAATCCGCCTGTAGGAGGACATGCCCGACCTAGAGCTACTTCTTCCGACCGACGGGTGCCCTCAGTCCTGGCGGCAGGCCTCCGCTGCACGCCTGGCCGGATCGGCGGCAGGCCTCCGCTGCGCCCGGGCGGCGGCCTCGGATCGGGCGCCCGCCTGGGCGAGTCGAGCAGGGCGCCGGCCATGCCACCGAGGAGGACGTCGGCTGCGTCGTCCGGGCCCGGACGAGAGGAGGGAGGAGGAGGCGGAAGAGGAGGAGGGAGGAGGGGGAGGAGGAGGAGGGAGAGAAGGGGAGGGAGGAGGGAGGAGGAGGAGGAGAGGGAGGAGGAGGAGGAGGAGGAGGGAGAAGGAGGAAAGGAGGAGGAGGAAGAGGAGGAGGAGGAGGAGGGGAAGGGAGGGGGAGGGAGGAGGGAGGAGGAGTAGGGAGGAGGAGTTCGGCGGAGGCGGAGGAGGAGGAGGAGGAAGGAGGAGGAGGAGGAGGAGGAGGGAGGGGGGGGAGGGGGAGGGGGGGAGGGAGGAGGGAGTAGGGAGGAGGAGTTAGGAGGAGGAGGAAGGAGGAGGAGGAGGAGGTGTCGTCGGGTTCGTCGTCCTGGCCTCTTCCACCTGTCGAGAGGCCCAGCCCCCGCGGCGCCGCTGCTGGCGCAGACCTCCGCGGGCCAGGGGCTGGCGGGCGCGGGCCCCGACCAGGCCGCGGGCAGGAGCCGTTCGCGCGCGCTCTCCCCGAGGGGGGCGGGGGGGGGAGGCGGGGGGGGAGGCTTAAGCTGGGCCTGTCCCTGTACAGGAAAAGTCAACAAGAGGCAGAAAGATAGCGGGGGATGATGTTTCTATCATGTTTGATCATGTCTGAACTTGTTTTGACGCATGTTTTAATTGTTCCTCCAAAATTCGCCTGCAGGGGGACATGCCCGACCTAAGGGGAGGCCCGACAGTCCAGGTATCCTAGATGAGGTCAGAGTAGATGGGGTCGGAGGATCGCGCCGCATCGTCGATGCATCGACGATGCGGCCCGACGTGGAGACCGATTTACTCCACGCCGACGTCACCGATCCGTCGCCGACGTCGCGGATGCATCGCCGACGCATCGTCGATGCAGTGGCGATGCGGCGCGATCCTCCGACCCCATCTACTCGGACCCCATCTAAGAGGCCTCTAATAGCCTCGACGCCCCTCCCTCCTCCCCGTTTCTCTCCCCTGCCCCCCCATTCCTGCAACGACCCTTCGAAGTATGGTACGTACAAGTTCGCTGGGGACTGGAGTTGCCGCGAGTCCGACTTCGTGCGCAGGAACGACATGTGAGGTCTGCGGCCCTTCGCCTTGCCCCCCGCGGTTCGGCAATCTTGGCCAGGCATAGCACGCCACGCCTCGCCTCGTCTCGCCTCCTCCCTCCCTCCTTCCTTTCCGATACCAACACTATATTGCAGCAGACGGGCCTCTCCAACCGAGCAGTGGAGGACGCCTTGCACCAGCACGAGACGGCATGCAATGGCGCAGTCTAGAACAGGCACTCCTACACCACGCACACGCGTCATTCATCACGACTTCCGCACCTGCGACTGCGGGCTCTGGCCCGCCCGCGCTGGTCTTCCAGGCCCCGCCTTCCAGCGGACACAGGCGCGCTCTGCTCTCTGCTCTCTGCCCCTTTCCCTGTCGCGCCGACGGTGCAACATGGGGCGGCAACTAGGACTTCGACCGAGCCTCTGCACCAACCAGCAGCTGCGATGAACCCAGCAGCGCATGATACGAATGATTGTCGGCTCCCCACGGCGACGCTATACCACTGACTTTATACGGCCATCCTCGGCGAACAACGCAATCACGACCCAAACGACGGCTAAACCACGACCCTGCGAACCATGCGCGCACGGAGAAGCTAAACACCATCGACCGCCAACTACCTACCTCAAAGCAAGCACTAGCAACGACATCTCCGACAACAACGACGCACGTGAAAGCCTCGGATGGCAGGCGTGGAAGCGCACGACAAGACAATCAGAAAGCTTGATGCGTAAGCACAATAAGGATGATTGGAACGTGAAGCACCAACGAATGGTATGGAGGTGCGCCGCACGAGTCGTGACGCGACCCACTCAAGAATGGTTTCAGCGTGCTGTCAACTGGCAACCTAGCCTTCATACTCTTCAGATGGGGCACTGGGACTTGGGAGGACAGCAGCACCGATGGGATGATGACGTAGCTGATTTCCCATGTCCAGCAGTGTACGAAAGAGACGAAGCCGCAACAGTTCTGACGTGAACAACACAGAATGTCTCAAAGTGGCTACCGAGGATGCACAGTAGACGAAATTGGAGACGCTATTTTTGTGACGAGTTCACTCTCTGAGTAAATTCGCAGCCCGCTTGCTATTTGTGCGAGGTCAAGGCCTCGCCCGCTCCGCCCAGACGAGGTTCTCATTCCGAAGTTCATTCCCTTGGCGCAGCCTGCCCAACAAATTCGTGCAGTCTTGGCTCAGGTGGGCGGGGGCTCCACTTCATTTCCGCGTTGGGGAACAGCGGCAAAATCTGCAACGACCCTCGCGATCGCCTTGCATTTGACTAAATTCAAATCCACCATCGCAGCCGCGGAGGTCTGATGATCTTTGAGCAGGGCCTGCTTGGTAAGATAAGACGTTCAGTCGCATCGCTGGACTAATCCTCTGTTCATGCATCGGTAGCGCTTCGATAATCTTGAGGCTTCGGTGGTCAGGGGCCTGCTTAGCAGGCAAGACGAATTTCTGAGCGTTCTTCTGCATTGCAGCCCAGCGTGCGCCCGCACACATCTGTCTGCATATGTCTGCATTGAAGCTGAATGGTTGCGACCGACCCAGGGCGCCTGACAGCACCTAGGCAGTCAGAATTAGGCTGCCAGGGGCTACGTGCAAAACAGCTCAGCTACGTTAGAAATACATGCTCACCTTCCTGAGGGGTCTGGGGAAGCCCGTCCCAAGCAACACCTTGAACTCTGGCTTGAATGCTGAGGCCATCTCCAAAACATACCCTCGCCTAGGACGCTTCAGTATGATCCGGGACCGGATGTCTAGAGCAAGCGCCGTCCGTCTGGAGCAACGTCAGACTCTTGTCTTTTGTAACTCCCCCATGGCCTCCATCGGAAGGAGGGCGCCGCCAGAATCGTGAATGTCTGTCGCGACGTGAGGAAATGGTGCCAGCCATGAAGATGCCGGGTGATCGAAAACAGTTTTTTTTTGGTCCGACAAATGACATCGTTTGGGCTGGAAGCACGAGCCTCCTTCATTAGCCCAGGCGACGTTGTGGCCTCCCGAGCTTGTACCACGTCAGGGTGGTTGCATTCCCAGTGTCGGTGAGGCAGCGAATCTGGCTGTTCGCACAGTGTGCAAAGCCCGTCGATTTGATACCCTGAAGTACCGACCCTGCCTTAAGTCCAAATCCCGATGCAACATAAATTAGCAATCACAGACATGGCTCTCGGGGTGCATTTCCTACTGGTGCATACCATGGTCCGAATCGGGTCCACGCACGCCCCGCCCCCGCAGAAACCAGGAAGTCCCCCCGTGGGAAGGAAGCATGGCGACTGTAGCAGGGGAGGTATACAACAAATCTACCTCCCTTTGCAAGTCGTCCTCCCAGCACGAAACATGTTCTGTCTGCCATCCTATGCGGTGCAGCGATATCAGCATGCGGTGCTCCGGGCCCTTGCTGCGCCTCCCTGAGAAGTCGCCTTTGACCTGATGGGCCACCTGCTGGAAAATGCGCACGAGCTAACGCGCAGGGGGAGGCCATCGAGGGGTGGGCGGCATCAATTCAAGCAACGCTGGCACACTGGATGGCCAGGGCAACGCCGGCCTTCTAAACCGGGCAGCCGTGGAGGACCACCTTGGCAGCGAGGGAAGGGCCGCAATGAGAGGGAACTTTACAACTCCTCGGGGCCCCCCCTAGCACTCTGAAGCTCGGCATCGGACATGCCGACAGCAAGGCCTGGCCAAGCGTCCTTCCACCGCAGAGTACGCGGCCGCGCGGATACCTGGCACCGCGGCTCGTGGAACGCAGTCCAGGTCAGGCATGCCAGCCAGGGGGGGGCATCCATAAGCATGCCAGAACTCCGAGAGGGTCTGGGCCTCATCGGCCAAGAGATCCACGTGGCTCGCTGAGACGATTCCTGGAGATTTGGACAGAACTGTAGACATGCAGGCTTGCTTCAATCAGGTGAGTCGGTGGAAGCCTCTGGCGTTGCCTGCCAGGGCCTGCTCCGGCCATTCATTCCACGATTTTCCTGTTGTCTTTCACCAGCGCCTCCTTGACAGCCTCATCGCAATCGCGTGTGATTCGGCGGCGAGCCCGCGGGGGAAGTGAGAACGGGCGGGTCTTCTCAGAAGGCTCGGAAGTCTTCCGGCCTTTGAGAAGTTTTCTGTTTTCCCCGTAGACGCAGAAAACCTCTCAGAAGACCAGAGGCCTTCTGAGAAGCCGCGCCGCCTTCTGAGAAGGCTTGATCCTTCTCATTGTCTCCCCTTGCTCGCCGCCGACAAGAAGGACCGATTGTGCCCAGTCTCAACATGGAATCGCTTCCTGTGGAATGCTGGGCAAGGCGCCGAGGCTGGCCACGAACGGCATCAAAACGGACCGACATCCCTGCACCAGCGTTGGCCAGGGAAATGCTGCTACGCTCGGACCTAGCATACGATCGAAGTCAGTTCGGGGAGGATACCATAAGGTTCTTCGTGCTTGTTGGATGTTATTGTGCATCCTGGGGGGTATCTTCGAGTGATCTTTTGGTTTAGGGGTGTTTGGCCGGCGGAGGATCTCATGTTCTTGAAGACTGTTTTTCTGTCTTAGGTCCGACCGCATGCAAATCTGGTGCCGAGCGCGCCAGAGTCATGAGATAGTCCAGCACGTGATGCAGGCGCCGCCATCCCACAGAAATCTGAACGCTGTCATCCAACGTTCTGGGACGATAATTAGAAGAGGGATGCCCATTATGCTCTCAAGGGCTCGCTGCGAAAATCAGGTTTAGCAATAGGTGGCAGAAGTACCAAATTTAGTATCGCCCATGAGATCCTTCCAGGCTGAGTTGAGCTTGTGCCAGGCCTCTCCCACCGATCCGTCGCGCGGTTTGTTCGGCAAGCAGAGTAGCAGCCGTCCACTGCCGTGACTACGGTTTTGGTCCGAAAGGAAACCCAACTGGCATTTGAGAGCGCGGCCGGTGCACTATTTGTCGAACGTGTATTTCATAAGTACTCATTTGAACAAAACTTGGCCGATTGGGCCTGATGTGACGTTGAGTGCAGGAAGTAATCGAGTTGTTCACTCGCGAAACCCCAGATTCCATAAGGAAGAAAACGATTACTGTCGAAATGCTCGCAAATATACAAGTCGCGTTCTCAGGCACCATGGTTGGCAGTCCGAGTCTCCTCGGAAACCGGGACTCTTGCACGAGGGTTGGAGACATTCCAATCAGTGCCGACATCACGTGCTCCTGGTTGGTGCTGGATGCACTGCCCGGCCTTGGCCAGGATATCCAGGTTGCTCTCACTCAGCCCTTGTGATGTCTGGAAGTAACCAACACCTGCAAAGGGGACCAACCTTCCAGGTCAACCAGCGTGCTGATCAAACTTCCTGGGACGACATCTCCAGAGCCCTCAGCCTCAAAGTTCAATCGACGGCAATTCCGAAGACTCGCCACATCGGCTGCGAACCGGCGGGCTGATATCGAATTGTGTATTCCTCGTCTCTCACTGGGTTGCCTTGGTGCAGGGCCCACCTTCGTCCGCTTGACCCCCGCTCTGGCCAGAGCGTTACACAGGGCCCGCTTGTCCCCTTCTCCCCTGGGCCCGGAAAGCCGCGATCGTCTTAGCAATCTCCCCTTTCTCAAGGTCCTCAGCAGCTGGCGGCGTGGGCTGGTCACGGGGCTCGGGCGCAAGTGCACCCGACGTGGGTTGTCTCTTGGCCCGCATTGCCTCCTGCATCGCCTGGGCGTCTTTTTTGAAGGCAGGCATCTCGAGCAATGCCTTCATGTCAGCACTGGGGCGAGGCTGACGGGAGCGACGTCGGCGGACACGCGTAAGTTAGTTGCAAGCTCTTTCTTTGAGGACCTCCACCTCCGACTTGGCGGAGTGGACCTTGTCTTGCGTCTCTGGTGAAGCCTACTTGCTGGGCCTTGCGGACCAGCTCAGTCTGCTGGGCGACACACGAAGGAAGCTGGGATCGGGGCTCAAGAGATGGTAACCCCAGCATCGATGAAACACCAAAGGAAAACCATGGTTGTTTGTCTCTCGGGGCCCTTATGGGAAGGCTCTTGGGCCGTCTCGAAGGCGTCTTGTGGGGTCTTGGGAGCCATCGTAGGCGCCCTGGGCCAAGTGTTCCGCGATTCGGGACCGTCTTGGAACGTCGCTGAGGCCACGGAAGGCAGCTACTTGCGCACGGCAGAGAATTTGTCGAGGGTGGCCAGTGCTTTGGATAGCTTCCTCCAGAACTTGCACCTGAAGAGCAGCAGCAGCAGCAGCGGTGGACGCCGTCGCCAGTGGGCTGGGCGATTTCGGCGGTCTGAGGAGGTTGGCGTTCTGCCTCTCGAGTTGGTTGAGCTGTTCTCGAGCTTGTCGCGAGGCATGGCCAGCCCGTGCGCCACCAGGAGGCCGCTGTTCAGATCGCGCGGGACGCACAGCATTCTGGCGAGCGCGGCCATGGACTTGGTCACGGGTTGTCTTGCCACGCCGGTAGCGAATTCGGCAAGCCCAGTGCGCGTTCCCGCTGCAGTGCAACGGAACGGACAGGTACCAGATTCAATTGATTTGGTTCACTGAACTTAGGCGCGCACCCTGGCAATTGGGGAGTCCGAGTAGCGGGGGGGGGGCTGCGACTCCCCAGCACCAGCTCGAGCTTTGACCCAGGAAGCGGATTGAGCCATAATTTTGGCTACGGAGGGTAGCAGTATCCGAATCAATTTCGATCGAACGAACAACCCGGAGGAAAAGAAGTGTGCGGAAACCGGAGACAAAGGGGAAGGATGACGGAGAGGGTTGTTGGCAGAGGGGAGGGAAGGGTGCAAGGGGAAGGAGGTGGGGGGACAGGAAAAGGGTGCACGACGAGGAGGAGAAGGGGAGACAGAGGAGGAGGAACAACAGCGTGCATGGAGCGGGGGTGGGAAAGGGCAGGAGTCCCACTCATCCCTTCCCGTTGCGCTGGGTTCTTCTGCAGCCGCCGACTGGGGTGCGTCCTAGAGGACCCTGAGCTCCCCGGATCACCGAATCGTGTGGTGCGCATCCAGAGGGGGACGCTGCACCGTGGACGATGGGGAGGGTGGATCTGCAAGAGGAGGGTGGATCTGCAGGTGGATTCGCAGCAGGATCTGCAGGAGGCTCTGATGGGGAGGGTGGATCTGCAGGGGGAAGATGGGCGGGAGGATCTGCAGGAGGTGGGCGGCGGGCGGACCCGCGGCAGCACGAGGACGAGGAGCAGGAGGAGCCGGGGGGCCGATCCGCTGCATGGTCGGGGAGGCTCGGGGAGAGCAGGGCGCAGGAGCAGCAGGTGCGGGGGGGAGGAGGAGCGACGCCGCCACCGCAAAGGGGGGCCACCTCCGGCGAGGAGGTGCACGATGCCTCCACGGAGCTGGGGACAGGGGATGTCTCGAGCGAGAGGGGGGGGGACCACATCACCAGGGGGAGATCCCCTGGCTCCCCCCGCTGGTGGTCCCCGGTGGTGGTGGTCTCGCTGTTCCTTGCTCCTGCAGGAGGAGCAGGAGGAGCAGGAGGAGCCAGCGGACCATGCACGCTCCCTGAGCTGTGCATGACGCTGCAGCGGTCAGGTCAGGTACTCGCTGGTCGTTAAATGTAGGTATTTCTGGATTCCCTGATCCCAATCTACTTCGAGCGCCTTACTCATTCAACGATCGGCATGGCTTTGATTGTTATATATTTTTCTCCGGGAGGGCCTGGGCCCAATCTACTTGAGCCGCCTTCCTACTTCATGCTTTTACCCACTTCTTCCGACCGACGTTCAAATCCGGCGCCTGTATGACGGTATCCCCGTTGTGTGTGTGTGTGTACATTGGGCTACTTCTTGTTTAGGTCGGCTTGGTTCGTCGCTGCATTATTTTTCAGGTGCCGCTCCGAAGCGAGGAGGCACCTTACAAGCTTCTGTTGTGAAAGAACTTGAAAGGGATAGCATAGGGCAGCACATCGGTAAGAGCCATTAGGAGGGCGCAGCCTGCGTACTTGCACCTGGCACGAAGGGTTTGCGTGCGCGCCGGGAGTCAAACAACAAAATGGCACCTGTATGGCGCATCCACGAGCCAGGCGAGACAGGAGCAACGCTGTAGCGGGAACACCAGAAGTAGTTGGAAGGCCGACAACTTTCCGATCCAACAAAAACACAGCGTTGTAAACCACGCGTTGAACACCCGTGTGCGAAAAACAGCACGTGGGAGAGGCGGCCACCGCACTCGACGGTACCGGGGGAAAGAGAGGGGGGCAGTGCTCGCACCGAATCTTCGGAGGCGGCGAGCTCCGGCTGCTCCGCCACTCCACGGCCCGCTTCCGAATTCTCCGCCGTCGCCTCCCTCGACGCCGCTCACCTGCCCCGCCGCGCCCCCCGAGCGCGCGCGGAGGAGTGACCTGCAGGTGATCTCCGCGGCCACCGCTCTCCCACAGGAGGAGCCCGCCCGGGCCGGGCGCCCTGCGCGCTGCGTCGTCGGCCCCCCGTCGTGCCCGCTCCTCCCCTCCCCCATACCCCCGCGCGCGCGCTGTCGCGCGTGTGGCAGGAGGGGGGGGAGGAGGAGGAGGAAGGGGGAGGAGGAGGAGGAGGAGGAGGAGGAGGAGGAGGAGGAGGAGGAGGAAGGGGGAGGAGGAGGAGGAGGAGGAGGAGCAGGAGGAGCAGGAGGAGCAGAAGGAGGAGGAGGAGGAGCAGGAGGAGGAGGGGTGTCCGCCATAAAGAATCTACGCGGATATCCTCCACTGGATTTTTCCTGGGCCTCAGGGGAGGGTGGCGGTGTATAAATCACTACTGGGAGCCAGCGATGTTATACAACGTTCCCTCCCTGAAGGTACATGTCAAGTTTGTCGGAGGGTGTCTGTGTATACATCCATAAGGGTTTCGTCCCCTACAGCCTGTCCCTCTTTCTCATAATGGGATCTAACAGAGTCGCGTCGGTGCGTCGCGGCGCTGCCTTGGCGCATCTGGGAACAGCATGCGGGGGCGGATAGGAATCATCAGCGCATATTGAAAAGTTGGCGTTATCGAAGACGCCATCGGCGAGTCACCGCCGCCCCCTGCCTTTTTGGAAGCGCCTGCTTGGCCGAAAGTTGGGTTTGAGCTTGGCCAAGCTATCGGGCCACGCGTTCCTCGAGCGGGTTTCGAAAGGTTTCGGGGAACACGGAGTCGGGCGAGCTATCGGACCAGGTGGTTTCCGAGTTTTCGGGTTTCCTGGAGGACGTCTTGGAGGGGTCTTGGGCCGTCTTGAAGGCCTCTTGCGGGCCGTTTGGGCAGTCTAAGGCTATCTTCAGGCCATTTGGGGCCGTCTTGGGTGCATCTTGGGGCCATCTGCGCTGTCTTGGATGCCTTCTTGGCCGTCTTGGAGGCATCTCGGAGGCCATCTTGGACGTCTTGGAGGCCATCTTGGGGGTCTTTGGGGCCCCTTGGGCCGTCTTGGGGCCTTCTTGGGGCCATCTTGGGGGCCTCTTGGGCTGTCGTGGGGCCATCGTGGAGGCCTCTTGGGCGCTCTTGGGACGATGTTGGGGACCTCTTGGGCTGTCTTGGGCCGTCGGAGAAAAACCATGGAAATCCATGATTTTTGCCTTTTCGGGCCTTCCTGGAGGACGTCTTGGAGGCCTCTTGGCCAGTCGTAGGCCATCTTGGAGCCATGTTGGGCTTTTTTGGAGGCTTCTTGGAAGGCATCTTGGACTCTCTCGGGCCGTCTTTGAAGCCATCTTGGACCATCTTTGGCGACTCGGACGCCATCTTGTGCCATCTTGGAGGCCATCTCGGGCCAACGTGACCATCTTAGAAGCCATCTTGAGCCGTATTGGAGAATTGTTTGCGGTCGTTGAGGTGGTTGCGGGGCCTTTCAGGGACCCCGGCGGGATCAGCCGAAGCCCCAGGGGGAATTGTTTTGGAAAGAACCACAACCCAAATCGAAATGATCTAGCACGCCGGGCACCCCTGTGGCAAGCCAACAGGGGGCGGCGGATCGAAGACGCCATCGGCGAATCACCGCCGCCCCCTGCCTTTTTGGAAGCGCCTGCTTGGCCGAAAGTTGGCTTTGAGCTTGGCCAAGCTATCGGGTTACGCTTTCCCCGAGTGGGTTTCGAAAGCCTTCGGGGAACACCGAGTCGGGCGAGCTATCGGACCAGGTGGTTTCCGAGCTTTCGGGCCTCCTGGAGGATGTCTTGGAGGGGTCTTGGGCCGTCTTGGAGGCCTCTTGCGGGCCTTTTGGGCAGTCGAAGGCCATCTTAGGCCATCTGGGGCCGTCTTGGGTGCATCTTGGGGCCATCTTCGCTGCCTTGGAGGCCATCTTGGCCGTCTTTGAGGCATTTTGGAGGCCATCTTGGCCGTCTTGGAGGCCATCTTGGGCGTCTTCGGGGCCTCTTGGGCCGTCCTGGGGCCTTCTTGGGGCCATCTTGGGGGCCTCTTGGGCTGTCATGGGGCCGCCTTGGAGGCCTCTTGGGCGCTCTTGGGCCGATGGTGGGGGCCGCTCGGGCCGTCGGAGAGCTGAAAATAAGAGAATGCCAGAATCCTTCAAAACCACAGGATAATCAATGATTTTGGGCCTCGCGGGCCTTTTTGGAAGCTCCTGCTTGGCCGAAAGTTGGGTTTGAGCTTGGCCAAGCTATCGGGCCACGCGTTCCCCGAGCGGGTTTCGAAAGGTTTCGGGGAACACGGAGTCGGGCGAGCTATCGGACTAGGTGGTTTCCGAGTTTTCGGGTTTCCTGGAGGACGTCTTGGAGGGGTCTTGGGCCGTCTTGAAGGCCTCTTGCGGGCCTATGAAGGGCCGCCTTAGGCCATCCTGAGGCCATCTGGGGCCGTCTTGGGTGCATGTTGGGGTGGAGGGCTCTTGGGCCGTCTTGGAGGCCATCTTGGGCGTCTTGGAGGCCTCTTCGGCCGTCTTGGGGGCCTCTTGGGGCCGTCCTGGGCCTCTTGGGCGATCTTTGGGGGCACTTGGGCCGTCTCGGGCCGTCGTCCATCGGAAGGCCGAAACCAAACAAATGCCACAATCCTTCAACAACTCATGGGAAATCAATGATTTGGGCCTTTTCGGGCCTTAATGGAGGCCCCCTTGGAGGCCTCTTGGCCGTCTTGGGCCAGCTTCGAGCCAACTTCGGCCGTCTTGGTGGGCCCCTGGCCCGTCCGACGCCGTCGTAAGCCGTTTGGGGGGCCTCTCTGAGCCGACTTCGGGCACTCTTGGAATGCTCCAGGGCCGTCTTGGAGGCCATCTTGGCGTTCTGGGGCCATTTTGGAGGCCTCTTGGGCGATCGATCCTTGGGCGATCTTCGGGGGCTCTTGGGCCGTATCGGGCCGTCGGAAGGCTGAAACGACGCAAATGTCAAAATCCTGCGAAAACCTAGGGCAAATCCGTGTTTGTATTACCTTTTTCTGGTCTTCCTGGAGCCCTCTTGGAGGCCTCTTGGGCCAGCTTCGAGCCAACTTCGGCCATCTTGGTGGGCTCCTGGCCCGTCTGACGCCGTCGGAAGCCGTTTGGGGGGCTTTCTGGGCCGACTTGGAGCCTTCTTGGGGTGCTCCAGGGCCGTCTTGGAGGCCATCTTGGGCGTCTTGGAGGCCTCCTGGGCCGTCTTAGGGGCCTCTTGGGGCCGTCTTGGGGGCTTCTTGGGCCGTTCTGGGGCCATCTTGGAGGCCTCTTGGGCTCTGTGGGGGCGATCTTGGGGGTCTCTTGGGCCGTCTTGGGTCGTCGGAAAGCCGAGAAGAAGCGAATGCGAAAATCCTTCAAAAACCGTGGGACAATCAACGATGTTGGCCTCTTCGGGCCCTCCTGGAGGACCTCTTGGAGGCCTCTTGGGCCGTCTTGGAGGCCTCTGGGGGGCCTCTTGGGCTGTCTTCGGCCGTCTTGGACTCTCTTGGGCCGTATGGGAGGCAGTCTTGGACCATCTTGGGCGGACTTGGAAGCCATCTTGGAGGCCATCTTGGGCCAACGTGGCCATCTTGGCGCCATCTTGAGCCGTTATGGGGGATTTTTCCGGATTGATGTCCTTCCCGGGACCCCGGCGGGACGGGCCGAAGCCCCAGGGGGAGCTCTTTTGGAAAAAGAGCCAAAACCAAAACCGACATAATTTAGCACGCCAGGCACCCTTGCGATGAATAGACAGGGGGCGGCGGATCGAAGACGCCTACGGCGAATCACCGCCGCCCCCTGCCTTTTTGGAAGCGCCTATGTGGCCGAACGTTGAGGCCAGACCTGCCAAGCTATCGGATCATGTGTTCCCCGAATCGGTTTGAAAAGCCTTCGGGGAACACGTGGGCATCTTGAAGGTCATCTTGGCCGTCGGGAGGCCATTTCGACCCTTTCGGGCCTTCTTGGAGGACGTCTTGGAGTGCTCTTGGGCCGTCTTGGAGGCCATCTTGAACGTCTTGGAGGTCTCTTGGGCCGTCTTGGAGGCCGTCTAAGGGCCGTCGGAAGGCAGGAAAAAAAGGGCAAATCCCACAATCCTTTAAAACAAACTCATGGGCAATCTATGGGTTTGGCATCTTCGGGCCTTCCTGGAGGCCCTCTTGGAGGCCTCTTGGGCCGTCTTGGGCCAGCTTCGAGCCAACCTCGGCCATCTTGGTGGGTTCCCGGCCCCTGGCCCGTCTGACGACGACGGGAGCCGTCTCGGGGGCCTCTCTGAACCGACTCGGGGTCCTCTTGGGGCGCTTCAGGGCCGTCTTGAGGGCCATCTTGAGCGTCTTGGAGGTCTCTTGGGCCGTCTTGGGGCCCTCTCGGGGCCGTCTTGGAGGCCTCTTTTGGGCCGTTATTAGAAGGGGCCTTCTCGGAGGCCTCGTGGGCGACTGGGGAGCGATCTTGGCGGCCCCTTGGGCCGTCTTGAGCCGTCGGCAGGCCGAAAAGAGGCAATTGTCAAAATCCGTCAAAAACCATAGGAAATCAATGTTTTGTGACTTTTCTGGGCTTCCTGGAGGCCCTCTCTCTTGGGTCGTCTTGGGCCAGCTTCGAGCCAACTTCGGCCATGTTGGTGGGTTCCTGGCCCGTCTGACGCCGTCGGGAGCCGTCTTGGGGGCCTCTCTGAACCGACTTCGGGTCCTCTTGGGGCGCTTCAGGGCCGTCTTGGAGGCCATCTTGGGCGTCTTGGAGGTCTCTTGGGCCGTCTTGGGGCCCTCTCGGGGCCGTCTTGGAGGCCTCTTGGGCCGTCATGGGGCCCTCTTGGAGGCCTCGTGGGCGATTTTGGGGCGATCTTGGCGGCCTCTTGGGCCGTCTTGAGCCGTCGGTAGGCCGAAAAGAGGCAAATGTCAAAATCCTTCAAAAACCATAGGAAAATCTATGATTTTGACCTCTTCGGGCCCTCCTGAAGGACCTCTTCGAGACCTCTTGGGCCGTCTCGGGCCGTCTTGGAGGCTTCTTGGGTGAACTTGGAGGTATCTTGGACCCTCTTGGGCTGTCTTGGAGGCCATCTTGGCTGTCTTGGAGGCATCTTGGAGGCCACCTTGGCCG